TTTCTTTGTGTAATAGACAGTAAAAAATCTTTTAAAACCTTAACAATGACGAACACGTGTCTCCACGCAGAGAAAAGAAAAAAAAACTGCATGAATATATTTGCTGACGCACGTTTACACTCTAAACTTCTAATCCAAGGTAACATGAATCTATAATATTATTTACATTTGTACGAACATCAAAATCATCTCACATACTCACGTTATTGCACTAAACTTCGTTCATAATCATATACCTCTATTTATTTTTTAGCACTGTAGGATGCAGATGTGAGATGAAAAAAATTTTATTTGTTGCGAGAGTTTGCTTTGACATGCAATGATAGAAAAATAAAAAAAAATCGCTATCAATTTCTTTATATTTTATTAATAATCTATACTACGTCTTTAATTTTATAACATACACAATTAAATAATCAAACAAGAGCGATGTAGACAGAAAAATTTATTTAAATAGAAAATGTTGTAATAAAAATCCATAGTTTGTTTCAAATCATTTTAAAGTTCCTATTTGTAAAATTTATGATTCAGTTGAATTTTTTTCACATGATAATACATTCATAATTGACTTTATTGAGCACTTATTCATATAAAAAATGTGTCTCATGAAACCGGCGTCATTTTTGATGGTTGTGCTTGATTATACGGTGGTGGTTGATTATAGGATGGTACTTGAACACTACCTGGTGGCTTATATCGATTTTCTTCTTGAGCTAAAGCCGCCATTTGCATTGCTGTAGGAATGGCATTTATTCTTCGTGCTTTCGCTTGTTTCATTTTCATACAGGCGATGAATACTACAAGAAGCGTAAAAAAAGCGACAGCACCCAATGCAATACCTACAATCGCACCAGTCGAGAAGGCACCGTCAGAACTACTGCTACTTGAATAAGTTCTTGCTGAACATGTAGTAATTATAACAAGCGATGTTAGAAATATGTAAATCGCTTCCATCGACAAAAAATATTTTTTATTTAAATAAAGTATAGTATAGAAAAAAAATCAGGTATTTATTATTTAGTGATGACGTCAATAGCGATGCACGCCTTCACATATTTATTTAAACAAATTTGTATTTGCTCTTCATTCCTTTTTCATGCACGTCATCATTTTATAGTTCACGTAACGGTGTAGAAATGAAATCTCTCCCTGCTTTCTACCTACGAAAAAAAAGGAATGTATTAAAATGAAACAAAAAAAAGTCTCATTTATCGTAGTTTTTAATAAATTTAATCAAATCGATGTTATTTAGATTGTTCTGAATACAATAATAAAATTTTTTGACATGATAAGAATTATAATGACATTATTATTGCAGATACAAAAATCAGTATAATACAGAACATAAAATAGACTAGACTTTGTACCATGTTTGGAAAATGTATGATATTTTGTATCATCATCATAAAAATGCTAACATGATTTGCAATGAAATAGATAGATACTATATTTTATCACATTATTTTGTGGCGGTATACAATGCAACCTAAAACAGCACTTGTACCACCCATACTCACTATAATTGTCATTGCTAATCAGAGCGAAAGTGTCGAAAGAAGAATTTCTTCTCACTTCTCTAATTCAGTATACTTAATTGACAGATGGTGCTTTTTTGTATCGTTTAAAAATCAAGAAGCGTACGGTATAATCTTCATTAAATAGAAATTCAATACTGTTTCAACGCTTTCTTATGTGCTTAATTATTTTCTTTAAAAAAATGGTAACAATATTATGCAACTAATATTGCACAAACATATGGAGAGTTGTGTACTATAACTTATGAGCATTGGATATATTCGACTGAAATTAGACTGCGATTGTAAATGTGAAAGTAAAGAGAAGTTTCGTACCATTAACTATAAGTTTATATTAAATGATATATAAAAAAGAAAGTACTCATCCACTTCGTAAGCAAAAATGTGCTCATATTGAATATGTTTAATATTTCAATATTGAAATGAGTCTGAATTTGAATTTTATTTTTATTGTTACAGCACATCCTTCACCAATTATTATTAGTTTTGCAATAACCACGGGTGCATATGGATATGAATGAATAATGGAGCTCCAAACCCTCACACACAATTATCTTGCTGAATCCAGTGATTTAATAAATGTGTCTCCTACTTTTACTGTTACTAAATTTTTTTCTTTCTTTCATGAATACATACTAAAGTGAATCACTTCTATTTTTGATGATTGTAGTTTTAGTTTCCATGCTTTACACTAACTTTGAAATGCATCTATAGATTGATAAAGTCTTCATAATGTGTTTCACGATATTCAAAGAGTTATGTCGTACGCTAATCAATAACGGCAGAATGACTATTACTAACTTGTATTTTTTATATAAATTCGAGTAGATCTGTTTTAAAGAAAACTACGTTCTTATAGAACATGTTAAACTCTATAGTTCAAAATAACAATTAAATTTACTCTATATGACAGTTTCTGATAAAAGAAAGGTTACTACCGATGGCATTACACTTTATATTTCTTTTTATCTCGAATCGTATCATTTTCATACAAAGTATACACTTATAAACTCCAGAATCAGAGAGAATAAAAAAACAAAAATAAAAAGGGATGATAATTAAAAAAGAAATAGAGCAATACATCAAATGAAAAGAAATTATAAGAAAAGGAGAAACATCTTTACCTTCTCATTAAAATAATTAGAAGTATCTATGCTTTGTTCATGAAACTTGTGATTATTTTTGTTTCACATTATTGCGACATGACAAAATCAAACAATTATATCGGACATATTACTATTACTCTTTCATTTGAAAGTTTTGCGTTGAAGAAAAAAACACATTTTTCAAATATATCAAAGTTATTCTCAAAGTAACATGTCTTCGTCGAATGGTTTTCTCACATCGTTACAAACAATACAGAAGAATTTATTTCGAATCGGTGGTCCAATATTAATGCTATTGGGTGTTATTAGTTGTATCATCAGTCTGATTGTTTTCACTCAGAAAAATCTACGTAAAAGTCCATGTTCCATCTACTTGATAGCAGTGAATGTTGTCAATTTCTTATTTATTACTTTATCAGTGTTGTTCCTTATATCAACATATGGCTATGACACAGATCTTACTACATATAATCTCCTTATGTGCCGTTTCTACTATTACACAACGTATTTATTTGATATTCTCAGTCCATTTTATCTTATCTTAGCTTCAATCGATCGAGTGTTAGTCACATCATCAAATGCTCGAACACGACAAAGAAGTACACGTCGTTTAGCCTATATTTGTATCGGTTGTGGAACATTATTTTGGATGTTGTTTCATTGTCATGCATTAATCCTAGTAGATATCCAAGAAATAGCACCTGGTTATTTTACATGTTCTTTTCGAGCAGGTCCATACGTCGTTTTCCTGGGTTATTATTCATTGCTCATCAAAGCAATTATAGTGCCTTTGCTGATGATTGTTTTCGCCATATGGACTGCAAAAAATATTAGAAAAGTGCGTCAACGACGTATTGCTCCTGTAACAACGAATACTGGAAATACAGCAGGGAATTCTGAACGATCCTTTAACTCCAAAGATCGACAGTTTGTTCTGATGGTAGTTGTGGACATTTGTATTTACGTAGTATGTAATACAATGCTCTACGTTGTCGTTATATATTACCAGATCGTACAGAATACCGGTTTAACACCGATAGGCATCTTTCTGAAGTTGGTAGGATCGTTTATTAGTTGTATTTCATTTTGCATTGTATGTTATGCATATTTATTTATATCAAAAACATTTCGAAAAGAAGTGAAGCGTTTATTGTTTTGTCAATAAGTTAGATGTTTTCTTTTTTTTTGTTGTTGTTGTTGTTAAGTCTGTACAGTTATTTAATGAATATTTCTTTGTTGTCTAAAATAAAAGTGAAGTCATTCGTAAAGATTATATCTATCTTTATATGGAAATGTTTCAGGATTTGAAGAATAATTAACATTTAATGGATGAGATATCAGGATGTAATGAACATTAACAAATACTGATTCCAAAGTTTTGCTCTCATTAGTATAGTGAAAGAGCTACTACTGAAACTTGTTCGTTTATTTATTCTTCTTCTGTATTGATGATGTTTGGTATTGCTATTTCACATAAATTAAACTCACACTCTATTTTATCGATTCGATATCTTTGGAGTATGAGAATATCAATATGTTGAATTAAAATTTGCGTTGAGTTTCTGATTTCTCGTGTCATATTCATTGCCCCCCTCCTGAACATATCCGAATGTAATTAGAGTCTTTGACCATTATCTCTCTCTTATTCTGATTGATAAATTGAATTGATGATGAGTATTGAGCAGTTTCTAATCGGTTAACAAAAAAATATAGATTATTATGGATTTCATTTATAGATAATATTTTGTTGATAGTAAGGATTATAAGGAGAATTTTGGGTTGTTTGATGGTCAGTTATCGAAAATTGAAATAGCCATGAACATCGTCTTTCAGATAAAATTAATTCTTTTTTTGTAGATTTAGGCCGAGAAATAAAATGGAACAGAATAATATTCTGCTTATCTTTCTCTACAACGCGGGTGTGGGTATCGATATTCGAATTCGTCCAAACATACGAAACTCTCACCTACGTCTACCTTCAAGATTTATAGTAAGCATTTCAACTGAAGTTACCACTAATCGATGATGCCGAGTATAAACTATCAGTTAATCACTCAAATAATTGATTGATGTCAATAAACAGTTTGATCGATATGCAAGATTTTTTCTGACGATCTCAAATAAATCTTACAGTATCTGTGTGAATATAATAAATGCAATACTGATGCACACACCCTCAAAGTGAGAGAATAAATAAAGTTGTGTAGGTTAATATATTTTCGTTTATTCAAAGAAAAAAGTAAAAGATTCAATATTAACTGTCGTGTTCAATTGAATATGTTAGTATTTTATGGATAATATATTTTAGAGATGAAATCAAATATCTACGTTAAAATGCAATGTTCATCTTGTTAATGTTTTACCATGATATATCGATTTTGGATCGAGACTTTGTCTTCAAAGTTGCTATTGCAAGTTTTGTTGCTTCACCATCTAATCCATTGCCGTCGAGATATAATCTTGATAGTGTCTATACAAAAACAAAATGAAAATTAATAAATATGAGAAGATATTTACCATGTTATTTTGTAAACCATCCATAAGATATTCAACGCCTTCGTGTCCGAAAGAATTCATAACGAATTGAAGTGTCTTTAATGACTGAACAAAACACAAATCAAAGAAATAAAGCCAATCAAAAACATTACCGTATTATTACGTAAAGCATCCGCGATATGTTGAGCTCCTTTGGGTCCTATATGATTTTCTCTGAGTACCAATTCAGTCAATGTCTAAGAAAACAAAAAATAAATAAAGATAAAACTAAAAAATAAATAAACTCACTTTGTTATTTTTTAAAAAATCAGATATATATTGAGCGCCATCGTCTCCAATATTATTGTTGCTAATATCAAGTCTTGTGAGTATCTATGCGAATAAAAACAACAGTCATAAATAAAATTAAGATAAAATTAAACATACTGTTGTATTTATTAAAGCATCGATTAAATATTTAAGTCCTTCGTCTCCAATTAAATTGCCTGCGAGATCAAGTGAAGTAAGTGTCTATATCAAAAACATTGAAATATAAATGAGAAAATCAAAGATATTCACCTTGTTATTTGTTAAACTATCAGCCAAATGTTTAATTCCTTCAGCTCCAATGTCATTGCCACGAAGATCAAGGAAAGTAAGTGCCTATTTAGAAAAAGTTGATATATAAATACGAAAGTTAAAGATATTTACCGTGTTATTTGTTAAAGCATTAGCCACTTGTTTGACTCCTTCGTTTCCAATTTTATTCTTGCAAAGAGCCAATTTATTCAATGTCTGAATAAAAATATAAAAATATAATAAAAATATCGAAATCTATTTACTTGATTATTTGTTAAAAATTCAGATAAATATTGTATAGCTGTATCTCCAAATTGATTATCATCAAAAGTAATTTCTTTTATTGTCTGAATTAAAATATAAAAATACGAAAATAAAAAAATAAGATAAACCTTGTTATTTCGTAAAGCATCAATTAAATATTCTGATCCTTTTTCTCCAAATTTATTATACGAAGTATTTAGTGATGAAAATGTCTAAATTTAAATATATTTTCATTTAAATAAAAATAAATTTTTTTCTTACTGTATTAGTTCGTAAAGCATCAGATAAAGATTCAATGCCTTTATCTCCAATTTTACACGTTTGAATTTCAAGTGTAGTGAATGTCTATACAAAGAAATTAGAATATAATTAAATACAAGTAACGCTCTTTCTCGTAGAAATGCATTTTCTTCATATTTACTGGAAAAACAAATGAAAACCGTGAAAAATTGATTTTCGATGTTTTTTTGACCCCCCCTCCAAATGGTCATCCAGCAGACCTCAGATTCGAAGTCCCTGCATCGAAATACCTTTAGAAATATCTTTCTTGGTGTTTTTTTGACCCTGCGGACATACAATCAAGCAAACAATTTATCTCTGCTAGACTCATATTCACTTTATTATTTCGTAAGGCATCAGCTAAATGTTGTAAACCTTCATCTTCAATTTCATTTTCATTAAGAACGAGTGTTGTTAATGTCTGAAGGACAAAAAAAATGAATGAGAAAATGAATGAAAATAAAAATTACCGTGTTATCTCGTAACATATCCGACAGATATTGAACTTCTGATCCTCCAAGGTTGTTTGATTCAAGGGAAAGTTTTTTAAGTCTCTTTATAAGAAAAAAAAGTGAAGATAGAGATATACGAAAGAGAAATATTTACCTTGTTATGTCGTAAAACATCAGCTAAAATCTTTATACCTTCAGTTTTTATCTCATTTTCTTTAAGATCAAGAGATACTAATGTCTGAACGAAAAAATGAATGAGATTAAGAGAAGAAACAAAAAAAACTTACTGTATTATTTTGTAAAGCATCACTTAAATATTGAACTCCTTCATTTTCCAATTTACACAATCCTAGATCGAGTGTAGTTAATGTCTAGACAAAATACAATGAAGATATTAAAAATAAATTATGATATTCACTGTATTATTTCGTAGAGCATCAGCGATATGTTTAACTCCTTCGGGTCCAAATCCACAACCGCAAAGTTTAAGTGTGTTAAGTGTCTGAATGAAGAGTCAATAGAACAATTTAATAGATATAAAAGAAATAAATTTACTTTATTATTATTTAAGACATCACCAAAATGTTTAGCAGTATCAGCATCAAAATCAACACAACCGAGATTGATCTCAGTCAATGTCTTTAATAAAAAAATTAAAATAAAATCTAAACAAATTAATAAATTTACTGTATTATTGGTTAATGCATCAGCTACACTTTGAACTCCTTCGTTTCCAATCCAATTAAGTGAAAGATCGAGTGAAGTAATTGTCTATATATAAAGAAGTGTACATGATATACTCGAAATCTGTATCAATATTGTAAAGTATCTGACATACTTCTATAATAAAAGTTTATTTTCTCACCTTATTGTTTTTTAATAATTCCATAAGAAGTTTTGCCTCATCAGCATTTAAATTTTTCATCATTAAATTCAATGTTGGACAATCACCGTTCTCAGTTATGAGTGCTTCCACGTCAATCTTTTCGCGTGGTGGCTCAACGTATTCTTCTTCTCCTATAATATGAATATCTTTAAGAATTAAGAAAAAAAGATATTTATCTTTATAAATCTCTCTCATCTTTATTAATTCCATTTACATGAACTCGAACTGTCGCTACCTAAATAATGTATTTGATTCTTATCTCTAATAGTTACCATTCTTCTGAATTTCAGCAGAATCATCGTTCTGAATAAGATCAGCCATTTAGTTGTTTATGATATCAAATCTGAAACAATAGAAAGATTCTGCTAAGATAATACAGATTTTCATTGGATTCTCGATCCGAGTAACTGATGTTTATAAAGGTTGTCTAATTTCTTTGGGAACATTGTTTTTTTGGTGATCGTCGACTGTTCCACAAAGACGCTGAAAAATTCTGTAGACATTTTAGTCTAAAATATGACTAATAAATTCTATCAATTTTGAGACTATCCTGTTTCCTCTTCATCTCGTTTAATACCATTTTTTATTAAAAAAACGGAAAATTTCACTAAAATCTCTTGCAAACTCGAAATTTTGCAAAAAATAAACTACAAACTAAAGATTTATTTCTTATCGTCTTACCACATACATATCTAAAAAAAAAATTTTTTTTAATAGATGCCTAAATATTTTTTTACATATTGCATATATATGATGTGTGCAGCCATCCGTGCATCTATGTATGTATATATGCAGGCATAGATATATATGTGTGCATTAATAGATATTTAAATATATGTGCGCATGCAAATCAGAGAACGAAAACAAATAAATAAATGTCTATTCGAAATCAATTTGATTTGACCGACTTTTCAAAACACTGACATGGGCTCGATTCGATTTTTTTTTCGTTCTCTGATGTATATGTAAGTCATTTTTAACTTTTTCATACAAATTAGCTTTTACCTATATTTTTCTAATAATTTTTGTTTTCGTTGATCGATATGAACAAATTTTTATCTGTTGTTTCTGTTTAAATGTCTCCTAGCCACACAAATGTCTAGCTTTTCAACTTATACGATCGTTGAGATAGGAACTTGTTTTAACATGTTTTTAACGCTTAAAAACAAGTTGTGGCATCAAAGTCTTCTTCTCTTGAAAAATAATTATTTTTAAAAACTTAAAATGCGTTTTTTTATATCAGCTTTAACTGACATGAGATAGCTTATACAGTTGAAAACACAAGTGCTATCCTCAAAAACTATTTGTAATGTGTTGAAAATAATTGTCTCATTCGATGTATATCCTAAAAAAACAAACTTGGAAAGTATACATTATTATATTTACTATTAAGACAACTCTATCAACACATATGAACTTTTATTTATAGAGCACTACAGGTTAGATAAAGAAAGTACAACTGTAGCAGGTGGAAATGGACGAGGAAATCAATTAAATCAATTCAATTTGATTAAGTATATGTTCGTCGATAAAGATCATTCAGTTTATGTAGCAGATACTTTCAATAATCGTGTGATGAAATGGATGAAAGATGCAAACGAAGGTATTCTTATTGCTCCAGGACAAGTTTCTAATAAAAATCCTGATACATTGTTACAACCCGCAGGTGTGATTGTTGATCATATAGGTAATATATATGTGTCGAATGGGGAAAGTCATCAAATAACGCGTTGGTCGCCAGGTGAGTTAGAAGGTACTTCTGTCGTTGGTGAAAAACAGCGTGGAAGTGGTCCCACGCAGCTCACACATCCATATGATTTATCATTTGATAAACAGGGTAATCTTTATGTTGTCGATAGAGGCAACCATCGAATACAAAAGTTTGTCATTGATCTGGACTGAAAGAAGTTTTTTGACAATAAAATGACTTTCAATCGATAATTCTTTTGTGTCACTTGTAAAGTATTTTTCATTAACATCGAATAAAGTTCATTAAAAATATGATTAATAATTTAGTTTATCATTCATATTTTGTAGACATATCCATTTCAGATTCCTTTTCTAATGTCTAGAATTCTTTTGCCAATCGACACAACTCAATATTTCAATAAAAATAGGATTAATATTCCGATGTAGTAAAAACTAGTGAAACTATCGAACTGACAGTATGTGATAATATGAACTCAACCGTCAGATTTTTTTATCAACATCCACATTCTCAAGATCTCATTACAAGAGATAAATTAAATATAATTAGTGGTTATGTCCACCGTGGTAGATATGATGAATTAATTAATAAAGATCCGATACACAAATTGAAAAAACCATATATAACTGAATATGGAGGTAAAATTAAATATTCATATAAGCAATAATTTGGTGGAAGTTCACACTCCTCATCCCAACACTTCTCTACGATGTGCTGGAGATTCATGATGCAGAACTAAGTCAACACATTTTATATATCATGAACATAAGTTTTTCGATTGGATACAAAAATCTTGTATTTAATAAAGCTTGTGAAACAATCCATCTTTATATTTTAAAATATTTTTCCTAGTTTCTCTCTTTGATACACTATCAAATTTGTTTCAATCGAAATATAATCGATTATATCAATGTCACTCTACACAAAAATGGAAAGTGTCTTGACTCTTACTGTCGTTAACTTTTTATTCATAAAAGTTTGTCTAAAGCAAAGTCTTAATCTATTCTGAAAGCGCTGGATGAGTTCTACATTTCTAACAAAGAAAATAATTTCAAAAAACTGTAATGCATTTTAAGAAAAACTGATCTTCTTCTGACAGATGGCGACAACAGCTGAGTATCTGATATTGTTGCAGAGATCTCTATTAAAATAAAAGAGCTACAACTTAATTTTTTTCAATAGTGAATAATCATCGCGGGACTAATAAAAAATAATTATCAAAATCGGTCGAGTAGAACTCGACTAATTGGTATTTTTCTCTGTCGGTCCAACGATATCATGATCACGTTCATCACTCATACATTTATATAAGTATGGCATTTCATATTGTCGATATATAATAGCATATGTTCGAAAGAACAACGCATAAATTATCATGCAAATTTCAGTTTATTAATCAGAGAGTCCATTATCAGAAAATATGTACAAATAGGTTCCATGACAACACAAAGAAAAAGCTGACTCATATTAAATGTGTCACTGGCAGTTTTTTTTCATCTGTAATTTAAAAGAATAACAAAAAAAAATAAAAAAGATGGTTGCTAATAAAAATGATATTGTGAAGAACATGACAAAACGATAATACAAAAATCTTAAACATTAACAATCGACGGTCTTTCTTTCATTTTTATCGCATTCCACCGATCCTCTTCTAATGACTTAAAAGTAGATGACGCAAATGAAGAAAAAAAAATGACGCGAGGAAAAAGAAAGAAAGAAATATCATTTATTTAGAATCAAACAAAGCGATTACCATTTCCATAGAAGGAAGGATGATTAAAACAGTGTATGTTATGAATGATGTTCAAGACAAATATCAACATCTTTGACTAAAACAATTTTTATAGGATGGACACTATTTTAGCTGAACTTTCTCTAGTTTTTCGAGTGAATTCATGAATTATAATTGAAGGAAACCTATTAATGATCAAAAAATTATATGTTCTTATAGAAAACAATGTTATATTCACTCAATCAAAAATTAATGTTGATTTTCTATTATAATATATTTCATTACAGATGATCAAGAGGCTACATTTAAATATGCAAGAGAAAAATATTATAAATAAGATTATATTTTCGACGTGATCGACAAAATGAATAAAAAGCAGTAGAATTTATGTGCTTATCTCTGTTGTTGTCAACGCTTACATTAAATCTATTTAAAATGAACAGAGACAATTTTTTTTCATCGGACAAATGTGTTTATTTAGCGTATAGAAGACGTCATTTGTTGATATCAGAACTTTTTCTTCTGTCTTTCCTGATATTTAGAAAATACTTTAAAAGGACATTTTAATTAAAAACAGAGTAATCTGAACATAGAACAACTATTTAGATTTTTTTTCTTTTGTTAATATCTTGATGGTGGCGAATTCAATCCTTTAAATGGTTAAAGGAATAATAATAACATAATGTAGTCAAAGATGTAATTTTTTTGGGAAAAAGAAACCTGTTGCAAAACGTATGGTGCTTTTTTTCTGAAATAAATAATTATTAAATTACAGAGAAAGAGTATTGTAGAAAATAAAAGAAAAAAACTAATAATAAGAGTTAGTCAAACATTCATAAAATATTTTAGAAACTAAAGAAATACAACATGTTTTGGGTAATATTTATTTTATCGTTATTTTCTGTTTGTAATTCTGTTCTTATT